AGTGTGTTTAAGGTGGAACTGCTTTATTCAGTGTGTTTAAGGTGGAACTGCTTTATTCAGTGTGTTTAAGGTGGAACTGCTTTATTCAGTGTGTTTAAGGTGGAACTGCTTTATTCAGTGTGTTTAGTGGTTTTAATCAGCGGGTCTGTTTGTGTTGGAGAGGAGGAGACCTCTGTGGATCATTGGGCTCCCGGTAGAAACCTCCTGAACCATGAACACTGAAGGAATCCTAACCGGGAGAAGCTGACTGCAATGACACCAATGGTGGTGAAGACAACAACTCCCATGATCCCACGCTGACCCCCCAGTGGCAGAAAGTACACTGTAGGTTTAAATATTAATAATCCTGGTAGTTTATTTATGACAGTGCCAGAGCTCAGGTCATTTGACAAACTCTTCTTCGTGTTATCTTCAGCATTATTCAGCTCGTCACCTCTGACTCCAGATCAGATTTACTGAACGACAGACTGAAACATTTTCCAACTTTTTGGGACGTTCTGTGATTTTTGTGGACGACTGAACTAAAACAGATCTGTTCTCTCCATCAGGACGGGTTGCGGTCTATGGAACGAGGTCAGGGTTTTCTCAGGAGGGGGCCGGGCAGACGTGGGAACAGCGTGGGTTTTTTTCCTCCTAAAAAGCCGGAGGACGGGAGACGGATGGGAGACGGATGGGAGACCACAGACATGAAGGGTTCAGTGTCTGAGTCCTACCATGTGACAGAGAGCATCATAGATTCTGCTTTAATCACTTCATCACGCTGAATGTGACGGTTTTTATCTCAGCAGAGCCGACAGAGAGTACAGAGGAAGTTCAGACATCTTCATCATCATCATCATCATCATCATCATCATTACAGTCTGTGCCACCATTTTAATGTTCACACTCTTCCTCCCAAATACAATCACCACACACCAAATGTGGATTCATCCGCAGCTGGAAATAGTTCCCAACAAATGCACCATTTCCTCCTTACTAACAGTACATAGACTGATATATTGATCACTAACAGTACATAGACTGATATATTGATCACTGACAGTACATAGACTGATATATTGATCACTGACAGTATATAGACTGATATATTGATCACTGACAGTATATAGACTGATATATTGATCACTGACAGTATATAGACTGATATATTGATCACTGACAGTATATAGACTGATATATTGATCACTAACAGTATATAGACTGATATATTGATCACTGACAGTATATAGACTGATATATTGATCACTGACAGTACATAGACTGATATATTGATCACTAACAGTACATAGACTGATATATTGATCACTAACAGTATATAGACTGATATATTGATCACTGACAGTATATAGACTGATATATTGATCACTGACAGTATATAGACTGATATATTGATCACTGACAGTATATAGACTGATATATTGATCACTGACAGTATATAGACTGATTTATTGATCAGCACTAACAGTATAAAGACTGTTATATTGATCACTGACAGTATATAGACTGATATATTGATCACTGACAGTATATAGACTGATATATTGATCACTGACAGTATATAGACTGATATATTGATCACTGACAGTATATAGACTGATATATTGATCACTAACAGTATATAGACTGATATATTGATCACTGACAGTATATAGACTGATATATTGATCACTGACAGTACATAGACTGATATATTGATCACTGACAGTATATAGACTGATATATTGATCACTAACAGTATATAGACTGATATATTGTTCAGCACTAACAGTATATAGACTGATATATTGATCACTGACAGTATATAGACTGATATATTGATCACTGACAGTATATAGACTGATATATTGATCACTAACAGTATATAGACTGATATATTGATCACTAACAGTATATAGACTGATATATTGATCACAGTATATAGACTGATATATTGATCAGCACTAACAGTATATAGACTGATATATTGATCAGCAGTAACACTGTGAGCACTGAACTCTCTGACTGGTCCCAGACCAACAGTCTGCTCTGCACTGTGTGTTCTGACCCCTTTCTATCAGAACCAGCATTAAGTGTTTCAGCAGTCTGTTGGATCGGACCAGACGGGCCAGCCTTCACTCCCCACCTGCATCAATGAGCCTTGGTCCCCCATGACCCTGTCTCCAGTTCTGTTCCTTCCTTGGACCACTTTTGATAGGTACTGACCTCTGCAGACCGGGAACCCCCCACAAGAGCTGCAGGTTTGGAGATGTTCTGACCCAGTCGTCCATCACAATGTGGTTCTTGTCAAAGTGGATCAGATCCTCACGCTGCCCATTTTTGCTGCTTCTAACAACTCTGTTCACTGTCTGCCTGATATACCCCCCCACTGACAGGAGCTCTGATAATCAGAGTTACTGGCAGTGCCCACTATGTTAGGGCTGATCAATGGATATTACCAATAATCACTATGTTAGGGCTGATCAATGGATAATACAATAATATCCATCGAAAAATTGACAAACCAATTAAAAAGAACTTAAAATAGCTCAATACAGAGTATTAGTAAAAATATAAGATATATAGAAGCTAAAAGGTTTTAATGGAGATCAGTGGATCAATAATATGTAACAATCCAACCACTATAATTACTGTACAACGTAGAATCTGATTCTATATTTGCCTTTTTATGTTCCTCAGATTTAAAATGTGAGGACTGTCGGTCAGAGAGCATCAGTGTGTGCTCACTGAACCACCACATCGGTTCGTATGTCATTTCCTGTTTGATCCTCCTCCAGATTATTAACTGAGACTGTGTGTGTGTGTGTGTGTGTGTGTGTGTGTGTGTGTGTGGAGGGAGGAGGGGTCTTTAGGCAGTGCATATATTTCTATATTTATGTTAATGTGACTCGTGTTTAGGAGCCTTTTTATGTAAATGATGTAAACTGTCTTATAGTACAACCATATGATGGTCTTATTTTACTGTCAGTACTTAAACTGATCATATATTATAATCATTATAATGTCTGATCAACAATCTACAGGTTATAATTTCTCTTCTGTGCGTGAAGGAAAACTGATGTTAAATTCCTCAGACAGCAAGTGAGACAGCAAGTGATACAGGAAGTGATACAGGAAGTGAGACAGGAAGTGATACAGAAAGTGAGACATTAATTAATATGTTGCTGATTTGATGGAAACAAATAAAATACTTTAAAGTGTCTGTACAGACTGAACCACAGCCAATCAGAGCGTGGAGAATATGTCACTGATTCATGCTGACACCTGCTGGCCAGATCTCGCTATTACACTGTCTGTGAGTGCTGAGGTCATTAATATTGATATTATTAATAATATTACAGTAATATTATTAATATTATTACAGTAATAATGTTACACTGTCTGTGAGTGCTGAGGTCATCAATATTAATAATAATACAGTAATATTTATTAGAAAACTTTATTATTTTTATGTCAGTGAACTAAAATATATTTAGTTTCAGTTACTTTTGTATCATTTATTTATTGAATATTTAGTTTGGAAGAGCATCAGTCAGTTTACTTCCTGACACAATATCAGCTTTAATTATTAACAGCTGAATAATATTAATTATATTGATCTTTTATTTTATATAGTCAGACGTTATAGGTTTAAAGTATTTTACTGTTTAGACTTTAATAATTAATATTTCATAATAGAAATGTATCATTTATGTGACATCACTTCTTTCTAATATCACTAATATTTTAATAATGATTGGATCTGCTGAGATCGGCTATCACCATGACAACAGTGTGCATTGAACAGTGCTGGTGTGGTTGTATGATCAATAAATCCACAAAAACCATCAGCCACAGATCTGGAATCTGACCATCTGAGAACTCACCTATCCACCAATCAATATGAATCAATAATGAGAATAAGTGTTGATATAATAATCAATAGATGGATCAATAATGAGTATCAGTGTTGATATAATAATCAATAGATGGATCAATAATCAGTATCAGTGTTGATATAATAATCAATAGATGGATCAATAATCAGTATCAGTGTTGATATAATAATCTATAGATGGATCAATAATCAGGTTCAGTGTTGATATAATAATCAATAGATGGATTAATAATCAGTATCAGTGTTGATATAATAATCAATAGATGGATTAATAATCAGTATCAGTGTTGATATAATAATCAATAGATGGATTAATAATCAGTATCAGTGTTGATATAATAATCAATAGAAGGATCAATAATCAGTATCAATGTTGATATAATAATCTATAGATGGATCAATAATCAGGTTCAGTGTTGATATAATAATCTATAGATGGATCAATAATCAGTATCAGTATTGATATAATAATCTATAGATGGATCAATAATGAGTATCAGTGTTGATATAATAATTAATAGAAGGATCAATAATCAGTATCAGTGTTGATATAATAATCAATAGATGGATCAATAATCAGTATCAGTGTTAATAATATATATTGATTAGTGCAGCTGCAGGAGAGAAATACATTCATGGATTTTAAGGCCCTTCTATCAGTTTCTCATTATTGATTTCTGATCAGTTTTACAATGAACATCCTAAAGCCGACTGACCTCTGCAGTTGCTATAACAACAGGGTCGAGGTATCGAGGTATGCTCGGTGTCAGGACGACTTTCATTGGTTGTTAGCAGTTAGCAGGAGTTAGTCACCTGAAACAACCACAGACAGTTTCTATAAGAGCGGAACACGCTCACCTGTTGGTCTCCATCTTCCTCCACCTGCAGTCCCTCACGTCAGCCACAGGTGAACCTCAACCATCAGTCGTCGTCCTCGGCTCTGATTGGCTCTCACTGACTGACTCGCTTTCTCATCGTTTTCACTCAACACAGTATTTTAATATTTCACTGGTGGGAATGAGCTTCCACACAAAACACACACCGATAGAATTCATTCATACTGTGACCGACACAGAGCAGACACACACAGAACTTCAGGATTAATAACGAGGCGTCAGACGAGGCATTCATGGCTAACTTGATTTTTTATTTGCACGTCCAATTAGTGTTAACAAACCTAAGACGGAGGTTAGCATCCAGGTCTACAGCAGGGGGCGCTCAAACACACTAAAGCTCCGAGGACATCAGACAGGAAGGAAACCAGCAAACATCTTCACATCTGTACAAATCTACAGCCAGTGAGTGCGCGACTGCGTCCTCTGCACGTCTCAACCTAATGGACGTCTTTGAGTTTGAACCTCTGAAATGTTAGCGAGCTGTCGGCTTCGCTGAGGAGCAGATTTAAGGTGGATTAACTTTAAACAGTCTGCCATCAAAGATAATTCACTAAATACTCAAACCAAGCTGGGATTTATAAAACAAATCAATGCAAATCAGCTGCAACAGCGCCACCAGCTGGCAGGGAAACCAGTGCAGGTTAGAGGACGACGCTCGGAGGAGAGAAAGACAGGAAGTGACTGTGGTTGCTAACGACGACTTCATTAGCTCATTAGACAGCGTAATCATTACTAAGAGATTATTATTATATTAACGGACCCGTCGCTGTGAGCTCACCTGTCTGTCCCCTCCCACAGTGCCGGAGGACGGGCGGGAACCACACACCTGAAACCAACATTCAGCCGCTATTAGCCGTAACCATGGTAACGTACTGTAGCTAACCTGTGCTGTAATGTGTGACAAGATGTAGACGATGTCACCTTCATGACACCAGTTCTACCTGCAGGAGTCCAGTTCAGGATTAGCCTCGGGTTATCTTAGCGTAGCATCGCGGTGGAATACTTTGTCCTGGGATATTGTGTCAGTGCAGCTAGTTAGCTCGCAGTGCTACGTCACCTGAGGCTGTGGCGTCGGATGTTACAGCCACTGAAAACTAGCTTTGCTTTGAATCGTAACCCCCGATACGAATCGTATCACCAGATTCTTGCCAATACACAGACTAGTGCTAACTTAGTCTAGTGCACAAACACATTATTCTGACTGGAGACGAGACGAACGCAGGACTCGCTGCACGAGGACATCGGGTCGAACGTCCAACTGAAGATACCTTCTGTTCGTTTCTCCCTTCAAATGGATCAATTAGAGGTTAATTAGTGAAATCAGTGACTTACTGCACCTTCATCATCATCATCGTCATCGTCATGCACTGGTTGCTTAGTAACAACAGTGGCACGGTTGGTATTTCCCGTGAACATCTTAACAAGCCTCTTGCTACGTAGCATCATGCTAAATTAGCCTTGTGCTAACGTTCAGTTTTATCGTCACTAAATGAAAACAGGTCACAAACTAGTTCTTCTGAAGAGATTATTATTATTAACTACCAGCTGTCGACATCTCTGACCTGAAACTTTATCAGTTCTGTGTAATGATGATTCAATCTGGAAGATTTTAACACAACAGACCTCCAATTAGGAAGCATTATGCTAATATTTGGTTAAATGACGTCAGTTAGCTTAGCATAATCCGATATTTCCCTCTCATTATAAACTGTATGAATATTTCAGACAGAAATAAAACTACATTTAGAAAAAGATGTATTGTTTTTTGGATGTTATGCTTCCTGTTTACATAGCTGGATGCTCCTGATTGGACAGAGCTACAGAGGTTTCCTAGCAACAGTCTTTACTAGCTGAGATAGCTTTAACGTCGTCTTTCATGAAGAGCTGCTGAGAGTTGTGGAAAAGAGAAAATGAAGCCACAGAAGAGTTTTTTCAACCACAGCCACTTCCTGTTTCCTCCTCCGAGAATCTGGACTTAAATTAAATATCACTCATGTTACAAACAAGTATTTTACATCGTCTCTCAGTCTTCATGAGCGGAGAGCGTCTGCAGGAGTCTTCAGTCGGGGGTTTAAATCCACATTAGAATGATGTTATGAAGTCCACTTCCTCCCGGGGGGGTCGGGGGTCGGGGGTCAGCTGTGGGAGCCACAGTGATGTTTCATGTTCTGTAAGAGGAGTGGAGGCGGGGAGCATGCTGCCGACTACAACAACCATCATCCCCAGAATATCCCATCCTGTGGAGGAGCGCGAGGAGCGAGAGGGGAGCAGGTTCTTATTGGGTCGTACTGAGGAGTAATTCTACTTGGATATATCGGTTATACGCAGTGTTAGTGAGGGAACCTCCTGTCAGTCAGTGGGATGTCTTCATTTGGACTCTTTTGGGGACAGACATGCGATGAACTGCATGACAACAACAGCAAGAGGGGGGTCTTTTTTTTCTTTTTTAAATCGTAGAGAGCATTCCTCCCCCCCCCCCACGTCTTCACACACGGACAGCCAGAGGAGACATGAGACAGTCTGAGAAATGGATTCATGGTTTCTCTTTTAAAAACTGCAGCTTCTTCTTACAATGCCAATGTAGAGGTGGTAGAGAGAGATAACAGAGACAGAGAGAGAGAGAGAGAGAGTGTTTAACTATGACCACAACAGTGTGTGTGTGTGTGTGTGTGTGTGTGTGTGTGTGTGTGTGTGTGTGCGCTGTACACTGAGTCTTTATGTCCCAGTGCTGTTCACTGGTGGAGTCCCAGCTGCTCGGTGGTGTCAGCTGCGTCCTGCCGGTCCTCCCTCAGTACTCGCTCAGGTTGTGCCATTTGGAGATCTGCCGGCGGGGGTTTTCGCAGACCTCCCTCCAGTGGGAGGCGCCGGAGGGGGCGGGGCTGTGCAGGCCGAGCAGCAGGCGGCCCAGGACCTCGTTCTTGGTGGTCCGGTCGAAGTCGACCACCAGGAACTCCACGGAGATCTCGGGCAGCAGCTCGGGCGGGATGTCGTAGATGAAGGACTCGTTGAAGACCGGGTTCAGCGTGCACTTCTTCACGTGAGTCTTCTTCTTGGCGATGCGCTTGCGGCCGTAGAAGACGTTCACCTTCACGTAGGGGTCTGAGGATCAATAATGAAAACGTTAACGCTGAAGTAAACAAATCTTTTACATAAGAGAGACAATAGAAACCAGAATGCTCGACAAAAACCCTCCCAGACCACTAAAGTCCGCTGATCAAAAGTTGCATAAGGCCGATTGATATTTAGTTTTCAACATATTGACCAATGAGCTTCAGAGGGGGCGTGGCTCCGCACATAAACAGAGAGAAGTCAACAACCATTAGGCCGATCATCCCAACACTCACAGGATGTGTCCATATAATCACCTTTGCTCACATTGGTGTGACGTGCTACGGTAAGCGTACAGACTCATTCCCGGTTCACTTCCTGCTCTGTGTACACTGTTTGGTGCTGTAGCTCTGTCAGTGAACGCTAAATATACATTAGTTTTACTCGTTACAGCGGTTATTTACCCGCTTAACGTTTAATCGTAGACTAGTTCTACTTAAACACTTGGAGTTTCTCCTTCTTTTAGCGACTTTTCGCTACTTTCAAAGTTTTTTCATACACGCTAGCTTTATTAGCATTAGCAGTTAGCTATGGCTTCTCCCTCTCCCTCTCCTCTGTCCTGCTCAGTGTGTCAGATGTTCAGTTATTCCTCTGCCTCCTTTAATGATAATGGTTCCTGTATTAAATGTAGTTTATTTACTGCGCTGGAGGCGAGGCTTAGTGAGTTAGAGGAACGGTACCGCACCACTGAGATATCTTTAGCCGCTATAGTTAGCCAGCCCCCGGTCGCCGGTGCGGTCCGACCGAAGTTCCTCCGGTTCCTCCGGTTCCTCCGGTAGTTCCCCCGGTAGTTCCTCCGGTAGTTCCCCTGGTAGTTCCCGAGCAGCCGGGAAGACAGGGAGGCTGGTTGACTGAGCGAAGGAAGACTAAAACACCGAAGCCCACAGTTCACCACCAACCCATTCATGTTTCTAATACATTTTCCCCACTCAGCGATACACCCGCTGAGGAACCAACTCTGGTTATTGGCAGCTCCATAGTCAGAAATGTGAAGTTAGTGAAGCCAGCGGCCATAGTTAAATGTATCCCTGGGGCCAGAGTAGAGTTGTTCTGATTCCGATACCAGTATCGGGAATGCCTCCGATACTGCCGAGAATGCTAGCATCGGCAGTATCGGTATCGGCGTGTACTGGAGTCCAGGCACCGATCCGATACCACGTAATTTATTAGAAATAGGAATCTATTTACTGGTTAGCTCCGTTAGCTCTGACACAGTTCTTCTTCACCGCTCTTAAAACAGTTGCACTGTGCTGCCATCGGCAGCTGCTGTTTTAGAGGGGCGAAGAAGAATTGATCACCTGACGCCTGTTATAAGGAGCTAATGTTAGTGCATCATGTCGGCGGTTCGGCAGTACTTTACAGGGGATGTTCCCACCAGTAAGACGGCCACATGCAACATATGCAAAGAAGCAACTTCGAGGGGTGGCACGAGTGTTTCAAATTTCAACACCAGCAACTTAATCAAACATTTGAAGACGCGATAAAAGACGCGGACTGGCCCGCTCGGTGATTGCAGATGATCAGGACCAAAGGCTCGGTTCGGGTCGCGCTTGATTTTTAAATAAACAATCCGTCGTGCGGCTCATTAGGGTATCTGCCTCACTAAAGCTCACACAGACTGAGCAGCAACGTTGGGCACAAACACACCCCTCCTCTCTTTTTCTGAGGCTCTCGGTCACAGCACTGCAGCACACACACACACACACACACACACACACACAAACACACCTGTAGTTCTACATGCTTGAAAAATGGAGTGAGATCGACAGCCCAAGAGGAAAGGTGGAGCAGAGAGGGAGAGAGCCACAGATCAGCAAAGTGCTGTAAAATAACTGACATGTTTGTCAGTAAGGGAGCAGTCAGACACTGAACACTAGTGGTGACAACAGACACACAACCAGAGCCTATCCAGCACCACTAGCTTAATGAGTAGGGTAGATCCACTTTGTGGAAGCTGATGGGGCTAAAACTGACTTAATAAAACTAATGTTTTAAGTTGTAACAAAGGATATTGCAAATTTCTTTCTGTGTGTGTTTCCTTGTTTAATGTAACAGAGAATAAACCTACACATCTGCATCGTTATTTAATCTACTACTACACTATTAAATGTGCAGCCTGCACATTGAAAGTGTCGTAGTAAATTAAATAGAATAGAAATTATGTGATTTTAGTACAGGTTGTTGTAGCACAACAGAAACATTTATTTTGTAGGGGAAAGAAACAGAAAAAGCTGTGTGTGGGCGCATGTGGAGCCTTTGCTTTATTATTTTACACTCTTACATCAGTAGGGGCCCAACCTCACTCACTCTTGGTGTTTTGCATTAATCGGAAAACCTGGTCTGATTAGGAGAGACGGCATCCATCCCACTTTGGATGGAGCGGCTCTCTTATCTAGAAATATGGCGAAGTTTATTTCTAAAACCTGACAGTCCAGAGTTAGGACCAGGAAGCAGAGCTGCTGTCTTACACACTTCTCTGCTCTTTCTTTAGAACAGTCACCCACCCAAAACCCCATAGAGACTGTGTCTGTCCCCCCGACCACCTAAACTATTTAAAGAAATAAAAACAAGAGGAGTTCAACATAAAAATCTAATAAAAATTAAAACCAACTCCTCAGTAGCACAAAATAAGAGAATGAAATGTGGGCTGTTAAATATCAGGTCTCTGTCCTCTAAAGCTGTTTTAGTGAATGAATTAATATCAGATTATGATATTGATTTACTTTGTCTTACTGAGACCTGGTTGTCCCACGAGGAGTATGTTAGCCTAAATGAATCCACCCCCCCCAGTCATATTAATACTCACATTCCTCGAGGAATAAAAAACATAGGAGACTAGCACCTTGGTATAACCACCAAACCCGCCAGTAAAAACAAATAGCTAGGAAATCTGAAAGGAGTGGCGCTCTTCCAAATTATCAGAATATCGCTCAAATTGGCAAGATAATCTTAAAACTTATAGAAAGGCCCTCCGTAATGCCAGAGGAGCCTATTACTCAGCACTAATAGAAGAAAATAAGAATAACCCTAGGTTCCTCTTCAGCACTGTAGCCAGGCTGACAGAGAGTCACAGCTCTATTGAGCCACATATCCCCATAAACTTAAGTAGCAATGACTTCATGATCTTCTTCTATAATAAAATTATTACTATTAGAGAGAAAATTAATCACCAACTGCCATCAACAGTTATCAGTGGCTCTCCAAGTTCAGGGACTTCTGTCAATGTAAACTTAGATATATATTTAGACTGTTTTTCTGCTATCGATCTTCATCAGTTAACTTCAATCATTTCTTCATCGAAGCCATCAACCTGTCTATTAGACCCGATCCCAACTAGACTGCTTAAAGAAGTTGTTCCCTTAATTGGCACTTCTTTACTGGATATGATTAATCTTTCTTTATTATCAGGATATGTACCACAGTCCTTTAAAGTAGCTGTAATTAAACCCCTTCTTAAAAAGTCCACTCTTGACCCAGGGGTTTTAGCCAACTATAGACCGATTTCTAACCTCCCCTTCCTCTCTAAGATTCTGGAGAAAGTAGTCGCCAAAGAGTTGTGTGACTTTCTACATAACAATAGTTTATTTGAGGATTTTCAGTCAGGATTTAGAGTTCATCACAGCACAGAGACAGCTCTGGTTAAAGTTAATGATGACCTTCTGATTGCTTCTGACAATGGACTTGTCTCTGTACTTGTATTATTAGATCTTAGTGCTGCATTTGACACCATTGACCATAATATTCTTTTACAGAGACTTGAGCATCAAATTGGCATTAAAGGAACTGCACTAAGCTGGTTTAAGTCATATTTATTAGATCGTTCGCAATTTGTACATGTTAACGATGAATCTTCAATAAATACTACAGTTAGTCATGGAGTTCCACAAGGTTCTGTACTTGGACCAATTCTATTTACTTTATATATGCTCCCTTTAGGCAACATTATTAGGAATCACTCCATTAACTTTCACTGTTATGCAGATGGTACGCAGTTATATCGATCAAGCCTGATGAAATTAATCAATTATCTAAATTACAGACATGTCTTAAGGACATAAAATCCTGGATGAGCTGCAATTTTCTGATGTTAAACTCAGAAAAAAATTAAATTCTTGTTCTTGGCCCCAAAAGCCCTTAGAGACTCACTGTCTAAAGTCATAGTTACTCTAGATGGCATTAACTTGGCCTCAAGCACCACTGTCAGGAATCTTGGAGTTATCTTTGATCAAGATTTGTCATTTAACTCCCACATAAAGCAGACCTCTAGGACTGCCTTCTTTCATTTACGTAATATTACAAAAATTAGACACATACTATCACAGACAGATGCAGAAAAACTAATCCATGCATTTGTTACTTCAAAGCTGGATTACTGCAACTCTTTATTATCAGGTTGCCCCAATAAGTCCATTAAAACGCTCCAATTAATTCAGAACGCTGCAGCACGAGTACTGACAGGAACTAGAAAAAG